AGAGAGGGAACACAAGCAGGGGGAATGGGAGAGGGAGAAGCAGGCTTCCCGCGGAGCAGAGAGCCCGATGTGGGGCTCAATCCCAGGACGCTGGGATCATGACCTGAGCCGAAGGCAGACACTTAACTACTGAGCCACCCAGGCGCCCCAGTCAAATGATTTTCTACAACGATACCAAGACCATTCAATGGGGAAAGGTCAAGTCCTTTCAACAAATGGTACTGGGAAAATTGAAAATCCACTCTAAAAGAATGAAGTCAGACTCTTACAACAAATACAAAAATTAACGCAAAATGCATCAAAGACCTAAACGTAAGAGCTAAAGCTATAAAACTCTTAGAAGAAGAAAACATGGGGAAAACCCTCATGATATTGGATTTAGCTATACTTTTTTGGAATGACACTAAAAGCATAGGCAAAAAAAGAAAAAGTAGATAAACTGGATTTGTGATGGTTGCACAACAAAAGCTACCTTCTGCTTTGAAACCATTCATGACTTACCCTAAATGGAGGTGATCTCCCTTTCCTTTAAATTTTTGCAGCTTTAATGAACTTTATGGCAATTACCATTTCAGTCAAGAGTTAATTACAGTTGACCCTTGAACAACATGGGTGTGAAGTGTGTGGATTCACTAATATGCAGATTTTTTCAATAAATGCAGCACAGTACTGTCAATGTATTTTCCTTATGATTTTCTCAATAACATTTTCTTTTCTCTAGCTTACTTTATTGTAAGAATATATGTAACATACAAAATATGTGTTAATTGCCTGGTTACGTTATTGCTAAGGCTGCCAGTCAACAGTAGGATATTAATAAAGGTTTTGGGGAGTCAAAGGCTATATGCAGATATGCAACTGCATGTGGGGGGAGGGTCAGCATCCCTAACCCCCATATCGTTCAAGGGTCACGTGTATAAATATATTAACTTTTCATTTTCTTAGGTTATCCTTTCTAATCATACAATATCCCTAGCTATATATTAATTCATCAGCTCAATGAGAGTCTAAAAGAAGCACATGTATTTTAAAAATATATTAATTTAACCACTGTTACTACAATAAGCCTTTTAGAAATCTTATTTGCTGTTATTCTAAGTTTTGGTTTAAATCAATACCCAGCACTACATTAAATCTTGTTTTCTACATATCTGCTTTTTATATTCAATTCCTTTTTGTTACTCATTTTGGAAGTTAAATTTCAACCTGAAAACAACACACACTGCTAAATCTCATCTTGTTTTAATTTGTACAATACCAGAAATCTAAATTGTGAAGGCATTTCTACTAATCTTTCTCTATGCTCATGATCCTCAACTTCAGCACATCAGCAAATTTGTCACATCAGCAAATTTGTGTACTGAATAACTCACCTTATTTTCATCTGGAAAAATAAGGAATCCTGTATCAGCATGATACTTGAGGTATTTACAGGTTTGAGTCCACTTCCCTCTAATTCCCTGCTCTCCTACACAATAGTTGCTCTGTTTTATTTTTAAATGAGTAGTGAGAAAGCTGCAGAAACTTTTAGTCTTTGTCAGACTTTGTTTTGAATCCTGGCTTTACCTGGTTCAAATCTAGTGAACTATATAATCTTGATCAAGTTACTTAAAGTTCTGGTCCTCAGTTTCCTGATCTTTAAAATGGAAATATTACTTAAAAGGATAAAATGGAAAATTAGCTGCCATAAATAAAGCATGAAGACTGGATGCTAGAGTAACATTTCGATTTTCTCTGTATTATTAAAGATCTTATCCACTATTTGTAAAGCTATTATCATTACCTACTGGAAGCAATTTTTCATTTTAGGCCAAGATCTATAAGAGTCATTGCTGACTTTGAAACTGCCAACGCTGCCTTTTATTAAGGAAAAAAAAAAATTATATTGGTTTTACTGGCTAGAGTACATATTCTAGTAAGTTTTTTTTTTAATGAAGTATAGCTGACACACAATGTTACATTAGTTTCAGGTGTACAACATAGTGATTTGACAAGTTTATATATTATGCTATGCTCGCCATGAGCACAGCTACCATCTGTCCCCATATAACACTATTTTATAATACCATTGACTGTATTTCCTATGCTGTACCTTTCATTCCCATGACTTACTCATTCCATAACTGGAAGCCTGTCTCCCACTCCCATCTAGTAAGATCTTTAACATGAATAATAAATGAGATAAATAAATGATAAGAAAAGTAGAAAGTGATATGCCAACACTTGCCACCATTATTACTGGTAGATTACAATTGGCTATAACTATGCAATAATTTTACAGCCTTACGTAAGTAAATAGGACAAATATATTTGGAGACCAGAAAAAGAAGCTTAAAGAGTCATACTGACTGTTCAAAGAAACTGATCAATTATTTCCTTACCTGAATCACTTGCTGCAACAACTATTCCACCAGGAGCAAAAGGATCATTGTGCTTCAATGTTTCTACCTAAACAAATTACACAAAATCATGACTAAGAGAGGCAATATTTCATAGCTGAAACCTCATGGCCACATCAAAGAAAATATTCTTTACCAACTCTTAATTAAGAAATACAAGGCATTAGGAATAAATGCTTCCCCTTACTGATTTGCAATCTTATTAAACTGAAATGACACATATCATTTTCTAATCTTTTATTGAGTAATATAATATACATTCAAAATGGTATATGAAACATATATGGTTTAACAAGTAACTATCAAATGAATTCCTATGTAATCACCTTCCAAGAAACTGCCAACACCTGAGCAGTCTTCACGTGCCCCTCTCCAAACACAATCCCATCCCTCCTCTATAGAGGTAATTATTACCCTGACTTTGGTGGCATTCATCTTTTTTCTTTTCTTCATAATTTTGTTACACACTGTTTTAACTTTTTACATGGAAGTAATTTTAGATTTCTAGAACAGTTGTAAAGATAATACAGAGAGTTCCCATATATCCTTCACCCAGGTTCCTCTAATGTTAGTACCTCATAACCTCATATAATCATGGCACATCTATTAAAACTAAGGAATTAACACTGGTACAAAACTATAAACTATAGACTTAATTTGGATTTCACTAGATTTTCCATTAAGGTTCTTCTCCTATTCCAGGATGACATGCTGCCTTTAGGCGCATACTATTCTAACTCTTAAATATCCTAGTACTTAAATATCAGACGCTAGATTTATTTTCTAGTTATCTAAAAATAATTCTAGCATTCTGCCCATCAGAGGAACATACACATGTACCAGAGGAAGACGGGGGTAGGGGGGTGGGGAGAGGAAGAGGGGAGGAAAAGGAGGAGGAAAGAAGGGAGAGAGGAAGGGAGGGAGCTCTGCTAATAAGATCCTGCTACTTTCAATAATAAGCCATGTAAGAATCTGGACCAAGTGGCAAGGGTGAGTGGCTACAGAGTGAGGACTTTACCAGAAGCCAGAGATTCCTGCTATAGAACTGTTTTCCTAAATTATTTTGGTTTTTAATCATAGTCAAACAAATTATATATCTAGGAAGAAAAGTGAACCTTCTCTTTCTGGCATCAGGCCCTTGTTAAGAAGCTAATGAAAGCCTTAGCAGACAGTTAGATGAAAGGGGCATGAAAAGGGTTTGGGAACATTTATCTCCTCTGACTCATGGCTATCAATGTCATCTGTATTACAGGCTCTATTTCTAATCATTAAGAAATTTGGTTATTACAATTGAATGTCAAATGATATCACAGAGCTCAACTGATAAATTTCCAAATAAAACAAATGTATTTGAAAAGAGAAAAGTATTGCTAACCAGGACTTGTAGTACATTCTCTCTTTATAAAAGAGAACCCAGGGACGCCTGGGTGGCTCAGTCGGTTAAGCATCTGCCTTCAGCTCAGGTCATAATCCCAGGGTCCTGGGATCAAGCCCCACGTTGGGCTCCCTGCTCAGCGGGGAGTCTGCTTCTCCCTTTGCCCCTCACCCTGCCCCCCAGCTTGTGCTCTCTCTCTGTCTGAAATAAATAAAATCTTAAAAAAAAAAAAAAAGCGAGAGAACCCATTTAAACTACTATCAGAAAGATGTAATTAATACTAATGAAGTTTTTAGAACTGAGGATGATAGTACTTATTTTAACTGATGCCAATGATATTATTATAAAACTAGCATAATGGCTTATATTCTTATTATATCTATTGAATGAATAAAGAGAAATAAAAGAAAAACATTAAGGTGGTCTGTATAGTCACATGGTTCCTAATATAATAGTCAAAACACCAGTGTGAGAGATAGTCACTGACTTAAGTCACCAACTATTATTGCTTCTTCTCTTGACTTTCAGGGGAAAAACAACCTAATAGGCCTGATTTTTAACAAAAGCTTATAGATTTTTATTTGCCATCACAGAGAGAAATAGAAAAAGCAGGCCTACATAAGTGTCAGGTTTAATTTCTATTCCTTCCTCATACACTGTGCTACCACCTAAAAGACCATTGAGACAGCAAGGGGAACAGGACGGAATGAATGCGTAGCCTATGAAGGATTAAGAGGCCATTAAACTCTATGTTACGTTCAGTTTGATAATTAGGCAATTTAGTACATAAAAGGAATTTTCGTAACTACAATTCAGGTGGTATTTTATAGAATTAATGTTCCAAAATCCTCCTACAAGGTCGCCAAATTTATCACTGAAATTCTCTCTCTTCAACATCAGTCATCTATCCCCCACATTGACTGTATGACTTAGTAGCTACACAATGCTACCATACACTAGCTAGGAGAGTAAGAAATGTCAGTTGTTTTGTTTCACTTTGGTTTTTTAAATTATGTCCCTCTGAGAGCAGAGACTAGCCTTGAGGGAATAGGAAAGACTTTTGGGGAGAGAGATCTAGAAACATAATCAGAGGCCTGTTTAAAAAGAAGGAAGATCACAAAACACAAGGGCTCTGTAGCTGGGAAGAATTAAGTTTAAATCTTGGACTATAGGGGTGAAGACCTTAGATTTTGGTCAGATAGACCACGGTTTGAATTCAGTTCTACCACTTACTTACTATCACTTAACCTCTTTAAGCTTCATTTACTTTATCTTAAAAATGAGGATGGTAACATGAGCTTCATAGGAATAGTGTGAAGATTAAATGGGTAACACATGAACAGAGCTTAGCACCATGCCTGGTACATGGAAGAGATGAGATAAACAAAGCTATTATTATACTGCCAATTTGATTTTTTGTTTTGTTTTTAATGGAGAAATCAAGAGCAGTCAGCAAGGGCAATATTGCTTTCACAAACTGGGGAGGGAAGAGAAAAAGTAAATAGAGCAAATGGTGGAAAATTTTCATCAGGGGAGAAGAATAGGAGAAACCTGTTTTATTTTTAAATTAGGAAGAGCTGCTTTGGTTTTCTTGCTCTTTAATGATAAGAGTAGAGAATAAGAGACTAGAATAAGGTAAGAGGAAAAAAATTCAGGTCGCAGCCAATTTTAGAAGAATTTGGCAAATGGGTCCACACTGCAAACTAAGTGTTGTAGGAAAACACAGTATCCAGTAGCCTGTGGAAACCACAAATATTCAGTTACAGAGGCACTTGCTCACTTTTACATCAATGGAAAATACCAGTTGTTAGCCAAATAGCTCTTTACTGAGTACAGTAAGAAAGCAATTAAAGAATACAAAATCTATCAACTTTAAAACAATCAATTCCTCTTTTAAGGGAGTATTCTTAATCTAAGAGAATTAAAAGACAAAATTTTTGCTCCAAATGCCCATCAAATCAATTGTTCTTTTTTGGGTGAAACACCCTGCTTAAAAAAATAAGTCTCCAAATAAAAAATAAAAACAAATTCCAAAACCATTCATAATTATTTAAATTGGGTAATGGATACATGGAGGTTTCTTAAAATATTTGATTATATGACTCTATTTTGGGTATGTTTAAAAAGCCATAATATATTTTCTTTTTAAAGCCACTTAGCTGTATGACCTTGGTTACTTCCAAGTCCCAGTGTCCTTACTGTTAAAATAGGGCTACCAACACCTACTTTGCAGGTTGTGAAGATTTACAAGAGAGTCTGACATTTAGTAGGAATTTGTATTTCTCTACAAGATTAACACGTATGTGTTATATAATATATATAAAATGTGTCTATAATATAAATGATTTTATCTTTCTAAAACATCAATGCTATTTTAAGGTTGATTTTTATTATTTTATTATTTCAATAATGCATACCACACATTTCTGAAAAGCTTTATTTATTAATGGATTTCAAATCATTTATTTTAAATATCCCCAATGGGATAATATTTGATCCTTATTAAGGATGGACTTGATTTTTAGATGAAATAAGTTATTCCAGCCAATTACAGGGAGTGATAAAGCTGTGAAATGCCAGTCTGAACAAAAAAACAAAAACTAGATGGACTGGATGAGATTGACATTTTTACATAGCCCATCAGAAGTAATCTAAAAGAGGATCCTTTCAACACTATATTTCAAGATACTCACTTAGGATGCTTGTTCTCCATTTAACAGTTTTTAACCCTCCCACTTACCGATGTATTACTGCTATTGCTGGCTGCACTGAAAGGGTCAGTACTTGAGGTGGCAAAAGGGTCAGCAGAAGACTGCTTGAAGAAACAGTCAGATGCAAATGGATCTGAACCTTTGAAAGGATCACCTCCAAATGGATCTAAGAAAATACAGCACATATATTAAAGACTAAAAACTACTACACTAAATTTCCTATCACCTGAAGGTACGATAACTGCCTTAATTAAAAGACATTTTGAACTTCTGCAGAATCTAAATAAGGTACTTGGCGTTATGATTATTGATTATAAAGAAATATAGACAGTTGCACCTAAAATAGCTTTAATTCATATTCTTTTTCCTACTTGCTCATCATTCACCCAAAGCAAATCAATCATTCCAATACTTATTACACAAAGATTACTTGTATGCCAGGTTTAAAAATTCTTCTAAGCTGGTGATTCTAATTTTAGGGGAGGAGGAATCACAAATTCCTTTGTGATTTTGTTAAAAGTCTTTCACCTAATAAACTTATTTGGAACAGGTTTGGGAAGCGTAACAAATGGTACACAAGATTTGCTTTATTCTAATGTAAAATCCCAGGGAAAGACTATCTTATAAAGCCTGACATTTAGTAATTCTTTAAGATGTTTCCTTTCCCCCCATTCATATGCTCTAATCTTAGGAAAACAAAATGTTCTAAACACTATAGTAGCATAGATCACTATATGCATCTAATCCTTGGCTACCAAGGAGAAATCAGTCTAAGTATTATTAAAAGTATCAAAATATAAACACTAATGTCATTTTTCTTAAAAATAAAGCTAACGGGTGCCTGTGTGGCTTGGTTGGGCGACTGCCTTTGGCTCAGGTCATGATCCTGGAGTCCCAGGATCAAGTCCCCGCATTGGGCTCCCTGCTCAGTGGGGAGTCTGCTTGTCCCTCTAACCCTCCCCCCTCTCAGGCTCTCTCTCTCTCATTCTCTCTCAAATAAATGGATAAAATCTTAAAATAAATAAATAAATAAATAAAGCTAATGGTTCATTAAGCAAATTCACAAGAATCTACCACTTTCCCTCTGAAAATGCCAGGCACATACAACATTTTAGTGGCGCCTTACATCAGTTTAAAAACTGAATAAAAAGGAAGCCCACTTCCTATAACTACCTTACTTTGATTTCTCATTTCTAAATACAACATAAGTTTATAATTAAGCAGAATTAAATTACAGCTAAGTTGGACCTCAATGATATACGTACCAATTTTTCCAAAAGGATCATCCTTGAAAGGATCACCTGTGATAAAATAAATAAGCAGAAATCACAATAATAATGTTTACTGTTGTGACACCATTACTTAAAGGTAACTTTAAACAGAAGCAAAGTTTCTTAAAGCACAGTCTGTTTCATTAGCTCTACCTCAAAGTAGACAAAACACTAAATGCCATGCATCTGTAGGAAACATTTAAAATAATAGAGAGTAAAGGCAGAACATCAACATACCTCATAAAAGAAGCAATTTTTTTAATGACTGCTGTTTTTTTTTTAAGATTTAATTTATTTATTTGAGAGAAAGAGAGCATGAGCAGGGGGAGGGGCAGAGGGAGAAGCAGGCTTCCTACTGAGCAGGGAAGCCCGATGTGGGGCTCAATCCTAGGACCCTGGGATCATAACCTGAGCGGATTATGGAAGGCAGATGCTTAACCAACTGAGCCACCCAGGTGCCCCAAAAGAAGCAAATTTTAATTGGAGCCAACTATACTTACCCCTTGATCACAAGCTGAGGTTACAAACAGAAGGGAAAAGACAGGCACAACAGCAATAATTTTACTAACAAGATTCTCTACTCTTCATAAGAATACTGAATGGGTATTTCCATCACTACTCCAGAAACAAAGACACTGAGCCTAAAAAATTATTTTAATAAATAATTCTAGAACTAGAGTCCAGAAATAAACCCTTACATTTATGGTCATTTGATTTTTCACAAGAGTGTCAAGACAATTCCATGGGGAAAACATAATCTTTTCAACAAATGGTGCTGGGACAACTGGATATCCATATACAAAAGAATAAAGCTGGACCCCTATCTCATACCATATTCCAAAATTAACTAAAAATGGATCAAAGATTGAAATGTAATAGTTAAAACTATAAAATTTTTAGAAGAAAACCTAAGAGTAAATCTTCATGACTTTGGATCTTAGACATGACATCAAAAGCACAAGTGACGAAAGAAAAGATAGATAAACTGGACTTCATCAAAATTAAGACAACACAAAATACAAGAAAATATTCTGGAAATCATATATTTGATTAGGGACTTGTATTCAGAATATATGAAGAACTCTTACAAGTCAACAATAAAAAGACTAACAATAAAAAAAGGGCAAGTTATTTGAATCAATATTTCTCCACAGAAGTTATACAAATGGCCAATAAGCAAACAGAAAGATGCTCCACAGAAGATATTTGCAAATGACATAAAAATAAGGGGTTAGTACCCAAAATATATAAAGAACTTGTAAAATTCAATACCCAAAAAACAAATAATCCAATTAAAAAGTGGGCAGGGATTCCTGAGTGGCTCAGTCAGTTAGGCATCCGACTTTGGCTCAGGTCATGATATCAGGGTCCTGGATCAAGCCCCGCATCGGGCTCCATGCTCAGTAGGGAGTCTGCTTGTCCCTCTGCTTGTCCCACTCGTACTCTCTCTCAAATAAATAAAATCTTAAAAAAAAAAAAGTGGGCAAAAGACATGAGTAGACATTTTTCCAAAGAAGATATACAGATGGCCAAAAAACACATAAAAAGATGTTCAACATCACTCATCAGGGAAATGCAAATCAAAACTACAATGAGATACCACCTCACACCTGTCAGAATGGCTAAAATTAACAACACAAGAAACAAAAGGTGTTGGCATGGATGCAGAGAAAGGGACCCTCTTGCACTGTTGGTGGGAATGCAAACTGGTGCAGCCACTCTGGAAAACAGTATGGAGGTTCCTCAAAAAGTTAAAAATAGAATTATCCTAGGATCCAGCAACTGCACTACTAGACATTTACCCAACGAATACAAAAATACTAATCCGAAGGGATACATGCACCCCTATGTTTACAGCAGCATTATCTACAACAGCCAAATTATGGAAACACACCAAATATTCATCAACTGATGAATGGATACAGAAGAGGTGGGTTGTATGTATGTAATATATGTGTGTGTATATATATGTAGTGGAATATTACTCAGCCAGCAAAAAGAATGAAATCTTCTCATTTGCAACAACATGGATGGAGCTAGAGAGTATTATGCTAAGGGAAATAAGTCAGAGAAAGACAAATACCATATGATTTCACTCATATGTGGAATTTAAGAAACAAAACAAATGATCATGGGGGGGAAAAGAGAGAGGCAAACCAAGAAACAGACTCTTAACTATAGAGAACACACTGATGGTAACGAGAGGGGAGGTGGGTTGGGGCGGGGGGGGAGTGTTCAATGAGTGATGGGTGTTAAGGAGAGCACTTGTGATGAACACCAGGTGTTGTATGTAAGTGATGAATCACTAAATTTTACACGTGAAACCAATATTATACTGTATGTTAACTAACTGGAATTTAAATAAAAACTTGGAGAAAAAAATAAAACTTGTAAACTGACCAGTTTCACAAATAGATCTGGAAATAAATAAAATGCAAAAAGAGCTTTGACACCAGTGGTATTTAACATAGTTTACATTGACATCAGGTATTTCAATTTATTACACTTATATTTCTTCAACAACACTATAGGCCCCTTAAGGGCAGGGATCCAGGTTCTAACTGCTATAGATTCCACTGTTTTAAAAGCAGGGTGTTGGCACTTTAGTAAAAAATTGCTGGTTGACTTAAGAGTACCTAATCTCCTCTGCTGGTCCATAATATCTTTCTTTTGGTCCTTATTCTGAAGAAGAAGCATGCTCTTAATCAGGAGGGGCTCCTCAGACATAATCAGTCACTTAGTCCAAGGAGTTAGTTGCCTGACGAGGACAAATTCCAGCAAATATAAGCATATCATATCTCTACATCCCTCTACTTTGAGTAGGATCTCAAAACTGAGCCCTAATTCTTATACAGTTACATTAAAAAGACTTTTTTTTGGTAAATCATAATATAAAAATAAGAGTACTTACTGCCAACAAAAGGATCAGACTGGAAAAAATCCAAGTTTGTATCTGCAACTGGATCTGTCAGTGAACTTGATTCTACATTAAATGGATCTCCCTAAAAATAATTTTAATTAAAAAGTATTCTTTTAGGAACCAGTTTTAAGATGTAACATTTTAAAATAAAATAACATGCTTTGAAAAATCAATGGATGGTAATATAACAAACATTTCTGTAGTCATAAAGTTCACTTAATGCATTTTTCTTTCCTTAGCCTAAAACAGTGTATAGCCCATCTAGGAAAACCAGTAATGAGAATAGTTACATATAAAATTATTTTTACCTCTTTTGAATGTCTGTCACTATTAAATTCAGGGCAAACTTTCTCATTAACAGCTGTTGTCGCCACTTCATTATCATCAGTCACACCAGAAGGCAGTATTTCAGGACTACTTCTTGCCTACAAAATATTAATGCTACATGGACTAACAATGTATTTTCTACTTGGCAGAGGAAACTGACAAAGGATAACCCAAAATTGCTAAAAATACAGAAGACAAGCAGAATGCATTCATTAAATGAGTTCTTCTCTTAAAATCTTTCTTAGAGGGGCGCCTGGGTGGCTCAGTCGTTAACCATCTGCCTTCGGCTCAGGTCATGATCCCAGGGTCCTGGGATCGAGCCCCGCATCGGGCTCCTGCTCGCCGGGGAGCCTGCTTCTCCCTCTCCTACTCCCCCTGCTTGTGTTCCCTCTCTCGCTGTGTCTCTCTCTGTCAAATAAATAAATAAATAAAATCTTTAAAAAAAAAAAATCTTTCTTAGAAAAACGGTATCATCAAGCATCAAAGTCACTCAGGCCAGAAAACTTAACCACTTTATCACTTCTCTCTGGTCATCTCCCAGCTAGCCTCCAAGTCTTGCTGAGTTCACCTCCTACCTCCTTCTCAAATCCATTCCTCTCTATCCTCACTGTCACTATCATCCATTTACAGTATCACCATTCTGATCCAGCGTAACCTTCCAACTGCCTTCTTGCCTCCAATATGTGCCCTTCCCACTGATCCTTCTTATAGTAGCTAAAGGAATAGATCTAAAATATGAATCTGATCATGATCCTTCTGGTTAAAGGTCCTTCGATGGCATTCCCTTGTTTTCTGGATTTAGATGAGTAGGTAATAGGGCTTAAGAAGTGGCAGAGGAAATCTCCATTTCATACCACCCTATGTCTTTGAAGGATAACCTTTTGCACTTAAAAAGAACATTGTATAATGTATCCAAGATTGCAACACCTAAATACAAATCAAGTCTGTTAATTTTATGTCTTTAGTATTTCTCAAACTTGTATTCTTCTCTTCATTATCCCTCCTATTACTGCTTAAGTTTAGGCTAAAACAATCTCACACAGACCACTCCAATAGTCTCTTAACAAATCTCTGTGTGTCCAGTCACACTCTCAAATTCATTTTCTACATTTTTCTAAAAGGTAAATGCAGTTAGGTCACATCTTGCTTAAAATTCTTCAATGGCTACTCACTACAGTAAGATAAATCCCCCAATGCTTCAAAATGAATCCAAATTTCTTACTCTCTGTCCCTTTCTGACCTAAAAGTGGTCATTTTTATCCAGGTGCACATCATAATCACCCAAGGAATTTTTTGTAAAAATATATGTACCTGGTACCATCCCAGAAACTCTAGTTCAGCAAGTTTGTAGTGGGGTGCAGCCATCTATATTTTAAGTAAGAGGTAATGCAGAGAGCCACTATAAGAGAGCTTCATCTCCTACCAATACTCCCCCCACCATCACAAGATATCCTTCGAGAACTTCTTGTGACCCTGTGCCGCATGTTTCTCCCATCTCATACCTATGCCAATGCCGTTTTCTCTGCCAGGAATATACCACCTTCTTCTTTGCTTAACATTTCTTACTTTGAAGCTCACTTATAAAGCTTTCTCTATACAGTCTTGAGCCCCCCTCCAAGCTGGCCTACCTGAATATCACAGCCCTTTCACACAGTGTTACACCACTAGACTACATGCTACTTAAAGGCAGGGTTACAGTTTTTTGTCTCTGCGGCTCTCACATATAATAGCAGCACTGCTGTGTGCTCTCTAAATAACTGGTAAATAAATGTCCTCAACATTATGAAATAAAGAATTACTTTCAGCATTGGGTGAGAATACTTAAAAAAATGTTTTAAAAGTTACTATCTATAGAGCTACTGTTTTGAAAACACGCTTTATAACAAATAGATTGGTTAAAATTACATTTTTACACTAGTTAAAAGTGTCAGAACTGTTGGATCAGTACCTACTCTCTCCCTCTGGGGGAAAAAAAATCAACTGTCCTCAGATGAGGCAAGGTCCCATATTTATATTAAGTATGATGTCAACAAAAACTTTGACCTGAATCAATTTTTTTTCTTCTGAAGTTGATTATGAAGATTATAGAACTATTAGACTCACTGGAGACTCCTGGTGTATGGGCTCTGACTCCAGGTTGCCTTGGCCTTCAGCATGCTCATTAAGGTTAGCTGTTTCACTGCTGCTGGTGCTGAGGCTGCAATAATCTGTAGCACCATTTACAAGAATGCTGTGTGGGCTACTGCACCAATTTAACTGATTATTACGGTTCTCCAGCTCTTTCATTTCCATCAGTTTCATTTGCATCTGTCAACACAAAGTAGAAATACAGAACAGAATTTATTACTAGAAGGACATGGAACATAAAAATAGCTACATCCTTAGACTCAGTCAAAAATAAATTTGCTTCCATTAAGAGAATCCTCTGGGAATGCAGCATGACTTGGAGAGATTTCAGTAATCCATCCTAGTAAGTTCTCTTGACTTGACATTCCAGTATATATGGATTTGCTTTTGCACATCTTTTGAAAGCTCCAAGAATTTTGATTCAAATATCTACATTTTGGTGTCCTTTAGGTATAACTGGAAGAAGGATCAGGGTATTGGGAAAAAGATAGCAAAGTAACAGAACAAGAGAAGATTTTGTGATGAAGCTTTGGGAAACATAAAGGAAGTTGAGGGAGAGCACACAAGGATTTGGAGCCATCCATACTTCTATTGGGAAGGAGAGGAGTGAAGACTAAGGTAAAATGAGCTACTGTCCTATGCTCTGGCATTATTTATTAATGGGCTAGAGCCCTAGGAAGTGGTCTCTAAATCTAAGCTATCCTAAACACGTTAAAGGACAAAGGATTTTGGATTCCAGTATCCAAGTGACTTTATATTCCTGGAACAATAGTGGGAAAGAGAGGCAGAATTTAATAAACTGTAATATATATTAAAAGAAAAACACTGGGAGCAGAGGCAGGAAAAAATTGATGCTCATTGATAGAAACATCTATAATAAAGAAAATAAATTAATAAATATCTCAAAGAAATTGAAGAGAGGGCAAAATGAAAATGTTTCTAGTGAAAAGGAGTAATGAATGGAATTTTACTGAATAGTTCCCAGTTTTCATAAAATATATTTTTTACATTACGTTGGAATTCCCTTTATTACCATGCTGTGTTTTTTGTTTTTAGCAAACATAAAAATTTCCTACTGACATTTCATAAATCAAGGCTCAGTTCCCCTAATCTTATTTTCTGCATAAGGTTTTTAAGTTGCTCATTTTGGAATCTGTAATTTACCACAGATCTTTTCAGGGTCATAACCTGGGAAAAGAACACTATATTGAACTGGGAAAACAGATGTCAGTCAAGCTCTGTCACCTTCTAGTTAAGTGATCTTAGTCGAAGTAACCTTTCCAAGCCTTCATTTCTTAATCCATAAAGTAAGAACTATCTCCACAGATGATTAAGTTAAGCAAAGATATATTTGAAAATGGAGGGTATTATGTTGAGTGAAATAAGTCAAACAGAGAAAGACATGTATCATATGATCTCACTGATATGAGGAATTCTTAATCGCAGGAAACAAACTGATGTTGGAGTGGGGGGTGGGGTGGGAGGGATGGGGTGACTGGGTGATAGACACTGGGGAGGGTATGTGCTCTGGTAAGTGCTGTGAATTGTGCAAGACTGTTGAATCTCAGATCTGTACCTCTGAAACAAATAATGCAATATATGTTAAGAAAAAAAAAAGAAGAAGAAGGTAGCGGGAGGGGAAGAAGGAAGCGGGGGAAATCGGAGGGGTAGACGAACCATGAGAGACGATGGACTCTGAAAAACAAACAGGGTTCTAGAGGGGAGGGGGGTGGGGGGATGGGTTAGCCTGGTGGTGGGTATTGAGGAGGGCACGTTCTGCATGGAGCACTGGGTGTTATGCACAAACAATGAATCATGGAACACTTCATCTAGAACTAATGATGTAATGTATGGGGATTAACATAAGAATAAAAAAAAAAAGATATATTTGAAAGAACTCTGTAAAATATAAAGGTCTGTGTAAATAATGGACAATGTGTATAAAAGTGCCTAGCACACTACATTTCTCACTATTATACCAATTAAGTTTCCCTGTTTCTTTTCCACTAACTCACTCCATTTTTAAAAAGTTAAAGACCTTGAGCTGTTTGAGGGTAGGGACCACAACTTTTGCTATCAACTTTGTACCTCCAAAATCTACCACAATGATGTATATACTGTAAGTGCTTAATTTATGTTCACCGAATGGACATAAGTATTGTGCTTATAAATTTAAACCGTGGGTATCAGTAAGCATATGCATCTATCAAATTGCACTGTATTTAGAATTTAAACTGACAATCCAAAATACTAGACATTTGTAATACACAGCATATGCCTTGTATATTCCTAGTGATATTGAGTTGTGGCTTATAAACTTTTTTTTTTACCTTAATCTATAGAAAGAAATAGATTTTACACCCTAACCTAGTAAATATATGTATTTGGATAGGTCTCTCTGTGTGTACATACATACATAAACACATATATGTAATACAGACACATTCATCCACATGCATAATTTACATGCACACACACATGCACATACAGTTGTGGAAAAGTTTCATGAAGTAATATGTATCCTTATTCCATGTAATGCACCCTCATATTTCCTATTGTCTTATTTCATTCTTATTTTTTGTATACAAAGTATGTCTTCATTTTTTCTAAACAAAAACAACTTGTATAGGTATACATATGAATGCACAGACACACACAGAGAGGTGCATCTACATACAGATAGAATTCGAAAAAGATACCATGCTGCAAACATTGTTTTTCTCCAGGAGGTAGAATTATCAGACTTTTCACTTTCTATTTTAAAAATGCACATAGTGGGGGTGCCTGGGTGGCTCAGTCGTTAAGCGTCTGACTTCGGCTCAGGTCATGATCCCGGGGTCCTGGGATCAAGCCCCGCATCGGGTTCCCTGCTCAGCGGGAAGCCTGCTTCTCCCTCTCCCCCACTTGTGTTCCCTCTCTCGCTATGTCTGTCAAATAAATAAATAAATAAAACCTTTAAAAAAAAGATGCACATAGTGTAGTACTCTATTATTAACAGTTAATTTAATATTTTTATACATGAAAAACTTGCAATGTATATTAGGAAAACAAATGTGCATGTATGAAACGGTTTTATGTTATATGGAGAAAACAATTTTACGTTTTATGGATAAGGCAGTGTTTCTCACTGAGTTGGGCACAATCACCGACTATATAGGCCAGGGAGATGTTTTCTGTGGGGACCAGAAGCAGAGCTCTCCTCTTGTCCATCTGCTTCAGGGCTGCCCAGTATCTCCTATTTTCCCAGCCATGGTCCTTCTGACTTTTTTCTTGTCCCTGACTGAACCTATGAAGCTCACAAAATAATTTTAACACCTCAGGCCGCATGCGTTTGAAGAGCAGTAAGATGATGTTTATTCGCTTCTAGTTACCAGTATGTCAAGCTGGGTCAGCTCATGGAGTCCTAAGTAATGAACACTTTGGTGGTCAGCAGCACCAAAGACTCAAAAGCTCTGAACACTCCAGAACACTCCTGTCTTACTTCATCTTTTAAAAAAATTTTATCATGACCATTAAAACAATTTCAATATCCACTAAACCTTTACAGTCTAAAATTTAAAACCTTAACACGAAAATAATAACCATCATATAGATGAAGCAGTACATGGAAATACTTGCCTACCAAAGAGTACTATTTAAGACAGCTTATTTCTTATAGTTACTTCTGAGACAATAAAAACTTGAACAAAACTAGGCATTCCTGTGTCTGGCCCTCTCACATACCTATCACTTAGCCTGTCTCTTCCTTAGTCTCTGCATAAACTTAGAGGATATAGAAAAAAAAAAAATCACACAACACAAGCTCTTTGCAAACTGTGCAAGAGAAATGCAATAAATTATCAGATTGCCAGAAACATTTTGATAAAAACAGTATATTTGTGTAAGTAAGATACAGAGGTACAAAGGTTCTTTGTTTTTTCTTACCATAAATACAAGGTAAGAAGTATAAATGAAAATTTAGCAAGTCAGAAATTTTTCCTCAGTTATTCCTTTTTCCAGAAAAGCTGTAGTTTAGCTTTAAAGAGCAATTAAAGTTTCAGGATAATTTACAATTTGGATTTTCATTTTTTTATAGGCCCATGGGAAAATATTGCCCTCTGTGGGAAAGACACATAAGTCACTATGTCAAATGTAAGAAAGTGGTATTTTGTGTGTGTGTGTGTGTGTGTGTGTGTGTGTGGTTTGTTTGTTTGTTTTATTTATTTTCCTAAGTAAACTCTACACCCAACGTGGGGCTTGAACTTATAACCCCGAGATCAAGAGTCACATGCGCTACCAACTGAGCCAGCCAGGTGCCCCCTGGTATGTTTGTTCTTAAGGTTTGGAGATCAGATGCAAGGATATAATACAATTCCTTCCACAGATATAGATAATATAATTCCTTCCACAGATTACAGATAGCAAATATTATCTGGCACACTTGGTAGTATAGTTTGCTGAGATTATTTTCCTTGCTCAGAAACACTGTTTTATTTTCTCAGTGATAATTTATAATATCCAGAGTCCTTTCTATTTTCTCATTTATGTTCCTTCCTTTGAAAGAAGTTCCCTTTCAAAAAACTTAAAGAAAATGAAAAGACAAGCCAGAGACTGGGAGAAATTATTTGCAAATCAAATATCTGATAAAGAACTTCTATCCAGAAGATATTTTTTAAAACTCCTGTAATTTAATAATAACTAGACAATCCATTTTTTAAAAATGGGCAGAAGATTTATACAGACATTTCATCCAAGAGGATATACAAATGGCTAATAAGCACATGAAAAGATATTCAACATCACTAGTCGTTAGAAAAATACAAACTGAGGGTTGCTGGAGTAGAGGGGGGTGTGAGGGAGGGGGTGGCTGGGTGATGGACATTGGGGAGGGTATGTGCTATGGTGAGTGCTGTAAATTGCGTAAGACTGATGAATCACAGACCTGTACCCCTGAAACAAATAATACATTATATGTTAATAAAAAAATTTTAAAAGAAAAGGAAAAATACAAATTAGAGACTATGAGATACCACTTCATACCCACTAGAATGACTAAAATCAGTTAGGTAGACAATAAAGTGTTGGTAAGATTATGGAGAAACTGGAACTCTCATATATTGCTAGTGGGAATGTGAAATGGTATAGCGACTTTGGAAAACGGTTTGGCAATTTAAAGTTAAAAAAAAACCTTAAACATAACTTCACAATATAACCAACTATTCCATACCCAAGAAAAATGAAAACAATGCAAATGTTCATAGCAGCATTATTCGTAATAGCCAACAAATAGAAAGAATCCAAATGCTCATTAATCAGTGAACGGATAAACAAAATGCTTTATAAATATACAATGAAATATAATGTTGATACATGCTACAAAACACATGAGCCTCAAAAACATTATGCTTGTGAAGGAAACCACATGAAAAAGACTACATAGTGTTTGATTTCATTTACATGAAGTGCTCAGAAAAGGCAAACCTATAGAAGCAGAAAGCAGATTAGTACTTACCTAGGGGTAGAAGTGGGGAGTCACTACAAATGGGTGCAAGGGATCTTTTAGGAGTGATAGAAATGTTCTAAAACTGGATTGTGATGATTGAGCACTTCTAAGTTTACTGAAAATCACTGAATTGTATCCTTAAAACCTGTTAATTTTATGGTATGTAAATTATTCATAAAAAAACAATTTTAAATAAACTCGAAGAAGAAAATTATTTTAAAGATTATTCATTCAGCTGGTAGCATTCCCACTAGGACAGCCTTCTTTTGGGATACCTGTTTATTGAGTACCTACAGCCGGATAAGAACTGTGCTAAATGATAAGAGAGAAAAAAAAATGTTTAAGTTCCTAGACCAAAAAGCTCAGTCAGCTGGGGGAGACAGACTATACATAAACAAATATGCAGGGGAAAATGTTACTATTGCTGTAACAGAAGTAGAGTCCAATACAGGCAGGGTTCAGAAAATGCTATAAAGAAATAAAAAGTTAAGCTATGTCTTGCAAGATGAGTGAGTAGGTATTCACCTGTCAGACAAGAGAGGAGAAGAAAGCATATCAAGGGGTAGGACTTCATTATACATAATAATTAACGGAGAACACTGGACTACCTGTTAGAAGATCTGGATTCTAGGCTGTGGCTCTTTTAAAGGCAATGTAACCATAGGTAAATTACTTAACCTTCCTTGGCTTCAGTTCGTTCAAATTCAAAATGAAAAGAATGAGCTACATGATCTCTCTCCTCCCATCTTACTATCATTCTATAAAATATTACTCTCCATTTAGGGAAGCCTAGAATAACAAAGCAAAAGATCTATACTCTGGACCCACACAACACAGCATGTTTATCCATATAAAGAACAATTCCCTAATTAAAATAATAAAGGTCTCCAAATAAGCAAATGTTCATGGGGGGGGCGGTATTTATAAAAATAAGCAAAACTTAGCATTTATTGCTAAACTGTGTCACAGCGTTTAGTCCTTTACATTTCATTTAATCCCTACAGCAGACCTAAAAGGCAGAGGTACTGTTAAATCTCCAATTTTGAAGATGAGGAATCTGATACTAAGATGATTCAGGCACTAAGTGGCAGAGACAGACTTAAACCTAAACCCATACCCCTGGCCATGACTCCAGTGATAATAATCAGATGTACAAGATGTATGACAATTTTAACTTACGACAGGCAACAAGAAATGTACTTGTATAAAATGAATGAAAAGTGAGGGAAAAGGAACACAAACCAAGAAAGTATTATTTACTAAGAGGATATGGTGAGGCCCCATTTGAGCATATTTCTCATTGCCACAAAGACTTACTGAACTGATTTCCTGTTGTGAATCTTGCAGATGCTGCTGAAGAGGTCCCAGGTGAGCCTTCCCTGACTCCACACTCTCCTCCAATTCTGCCGTTTCTTGCTGTAGGCGACTCAGCTCTTCCCTAGCTTTGGCCAGCTCTTCCTCATAAGTAGAGATTTGCGATTCTTGACTAGTTAATTCAGCTTTCAGGGATGAGATCTGTAACATGGGAGTGAATGACAAGAAGCGGGGATTAAAAAAAAAGAATTGTCATTAAAATGTTCCATAATGCAAATATGTTTATTTGTTCAGTTTACTGTTTTGGTGGGTTGTTTTTTTTTTTTTTTTGGAAGTACATATTTTTGATAGAGAAGGGCAATTAAGAGAGAAATCGAGGGGACTTGAAGGCATAGGTACCACACTTTCAGCTAAAATTTGGAAAAGTAGTACTACAATTTCCAGATGAACAGGAGGGCTCCAACTCCTTCATGTGCCCCAGCTGTTGACTAGATTGCCACCTGACTACAACAGTAGCAACAACAAGAAGCAAAGAATGTTTCCAGGAAAAGCAACTAAGGTACAGATACAGGCAGCAGCGAATGGCCAGACTTTACCAGCTGGGCCTCCTCAGTGCATTTCTTTCTAACTTCCTTCAGTTGTTCCTCCAGCTGGGATTTCTGCTCATCTAGTCCATCAAGGAGTTCCTGTACTTGCTGTTTCTGGGCGTGGAGTTTTTGCAGATTAGTATTCTCCCTTTGAACTTCATCTTGCAGATCCTGAAATACAAGAAAATTAACATATTTATTATCTTTGGAGAGGAGGAAGGTTAACAATTTTTAAAAGCCTATCTTAAGGGAAAATAAAGTCTTTTTTTTTTTTAAAGATTTTATTTATTTATTTGACAGAGAGAGAGACAGCGAGAGAGGGAACACAAGCAGAGAAATGGGAGAGGGAGAAGCAGGCTTCCTGCTGAGCAGGGAGCCCGATGCGGGGCTCGATCCCAGGACCCTGGGATTATGACCTGAGCCGAAGGCAGACGCTTAACGACTGAGCCACCCAGGCGCCCCAAGGGAAAATAAAGTCTTATTAAATATATTGTGTTGGTAGACCGGAGGAATCCCAGCTTTAAATAACTGTCTTTACTTCAGGATTTCTTCCCTAGACTCCAGATTTTAAAATCCGATTTGCTTACTCAAATCTGTCTTTGGATGTCTGATGAGCTTCTCGAACATGTCAAAAACAGAACTCCTGGCATTTTCCCCCCAACCCAAATCTGCTTTATCTTCAATCTTCCCCCTCTCAGTTTCTCTGGCCAAAAAATCCAGCATGTTCTTTGACTCTTTCTCTCACATCTCATCTCCAATCTGTCAGCAAATTTTATTGCTTCTTCCTTCAAAATATATTCAAAATCTGGCCACTTTTTCCCTCAACCTTGGTCCAAGTCACTGTTCTCTCTCTCTTGGATTGCTGCCTTCTAACTGGTTTCCCTGCTTCTACCCAGGCTACCTACAGTTTATTTTCAGCCCAGTAGTCACTGTAAAAAACCTGCATCAGATGAGTCACTCCTCTATTCAAAATTCTGCATTGAATCCCCATCTCCCTTACTGTAAATACCAAAGTCCTCACAATGGCCCTGCATCTCCCAACTTCATTTCCTACTGCGTTTCCCTTGCTCAGCCACTCTGGCCTCACTGCTGCTCCTCAAACATGCCAGACAGGCTCCTTTCTCAGGATCTTCCATTAATTATCCCTTCTTCCTAGAAAGTTCTTCCCCCAGGTATCCATATGGCTCAAACCCTCATCACTTTCAAGTCTTCGTTCAACTATAACCTTTCCACAATGAGGCTACAGTGCGGTACCATTACCACCACCTCCCTCCCCTAAGTCTCCTTCATATATAGCAGTAATTTTATTCATTTTCTAGAACAGCTTTATTGAGATAAACATACCATAAAACTCACCCATTTAAAGTGTACAATTTCAATGCCTTTGAGTTCAATTTTTAGTGCCTTTACAGAGTTATGCAACCATCACAACTTTTTTAGAACATTTTCAATCACCCCAAAAAGAAACCCCATACCCACTAGCAAGTCACTCTATTTCCCTCCCAATCACCCCAGCCCTAGGCAACCACCAATCTACTTTCTATCTCGATAAGCTTTGTCTATTCCGGATAGTTAATACAGATGAAATCATACAACATCTGGCTCTTTGTGATTGGCTTCTTTGTGACTTAGCATGTTTTCAAGGCTCATCTGTAATGGTATAACATTTAAACAGCTTTACTGAGATTTGATTTACATACCATAAAATTTGCCCATTGTAAGCATACAATTAAGTTTTAGCAAATATACAATTGTGCAACCATCATCACAATCCAGTTTTACAACACTTCCATTATCTAAAAAGTTCCTTCATACTCCTTTGCAGTCAATCCTCATTTCCATTTGAAGCCCCATGCAACCAATGATCTGCCGTCGCTCCAGTTTTTGCCTTTTGTAGAAATTTCACATAAATGGAAAATCATACAATACATAATCTATTATATCTGGCTTCTTACACCTAGTATAGTATTTTTGAGATTTGTCTCAGTTGTTGCAATGTATAGGTAGTTTGTTCCTTTTTATTGCTGAGTAGTATTTCATTGTATGAATACACATTTGATGGACATTTAGATTGCTCCCAGTTTTGGCTATTATGAATAATAGAGCATATAATTTATTTATCTTGTTCATGGTCTATTTCCTTCCACTACAATATAAGCTCCATGAGTCAGGAGATATTTGTGAGTTTTGTTCACTGCTATATTCAGAGTTCCCAGTATACCAGAGGTGCTCCATAGATATTTAGTAAATGATGAATAGTATCATAAAGATGTCAGTTCTTTCCTAATTAATCTATACATTCCAATGAAAATCCTAACAAGGTTTTGCAAGGAGCCTGACAAGTTGGTTCTAAAACACATTTGGAAGAAAAAAGAAAAAGAAACAGCATAATAAAATGTAAAAGGACTTAACCTACTAGGTATTAATTATTGGAAAACTGAAATAATTAAGACAGTTTGATGTTGATACAAGGATAGACAAATAGATTAAAGGAACAGAAAAGAGAATTTAGACACAGATCTGGCATATACAGAAATAATGATGTGAAAATATGACATTAAAATTGACTGGAAGGAGGATCCTTTTGTAGTTCGTAAGCATGATGATTGGGTGTTCACGCTGTTGTGTGACATGTGCATCCCCTCAAACCTTGTTACAACCTCGGCACATTACCTGTCTGGTGTGAACTTGGAAAAAAAAATTGACTGGAAGGAAAAAAGAATTAAATACTCAATAAATATCCTGGGCATACCCGTACGGTAAAAAATAAAATAAAATGAAGTCCCTAAATCACACCAAAGAGAAAAATAAATTCCAGGTATATTACAGACCTAAGCATGAAAATCAAAACTTTAAAATGTATGGAAGATAAAGTTTAAAAAAATGTATAGACGAAAATAGAGATCTCAGTGTAGGAAGGAATTTCCTAAAGATAAATCATTTTGAAAATGCTATATTTATTTATGTACTATACTTTTTGCTTAATGATAAAGGCTACAGAAACTAAAAAATTACAATGGGAAATCTCTGTACCCTCTGCTTAATTTTACTATGAACCTAAAACTGCTCTAAAGAAAAAAGTCTATTTAAAAAAAAATACAAAAGAGACCTTGGGAGATAGATGAAAGCACTGCCATTATCATTACCACCATAAAACAGAGCAGCCAAGATGGCCTGATTTATATGTCCTCTAACATTTGGGCTTCCTCACCTGGACCACAGAAAATCATTTGAGTGACTATTTTCCCAATTCTTTGAAGAATGGTACAATATTAATACCATTGTAGATACACAGGGGAGAGATTAATTCACTGTTTATAAAAAGGTTTTCAAAGGGAATTAGGACTTAATTCTCTCCAGGAACCACAAGTAAGGAAGAAGGGATTGATAACTCTAAGGCATGTTTTGGCAGCAGGTGGGCAGAGATCTCAAAAAGGGTGAAATAAAATTGTGAACACAAATTTCTAAAAATAATATCTTTTAAATAACATACTATTCAAAGACCCCATCAATCATTCATCAGAATAAGAATCTAAGAACAACAAAAGAAAAACTTAGAAGAAGGTCTCTGAATTACTGCATTCAAAACAAGGACTTCTACAATAGCCCTTAAAATGTGCTAGGTATTGTCCCAGACTCTTCACATATATTAACTCATTTATAATCCATATGACAGATCTAGAAGTAGGTACTATTGTTATTCACATCTCATGGATGAGAAAACTGAGGCACAAATGGACAAGTACTTATCCAAAGTTACAGTTAGCAGGTAATGGATTCAAACTAGGTTCTGATTCCAGAGTCTGAGTCCTTAATCACTAAGCTATACAGTGTCTATAGACTAAATGTCTCACAAGTACGCTATTTTTCAAATATATGTAGATGCTTCTGTGACTAGGTAAAACATTGAACAATGCTTTTAATAACTGATTTTCACTTATATTTTCTCAACCAACTGATTAATCTAAAAGTAAAATTACTATCATGCTGCTTTCTTTAAAAAGTTCCTTTAAAAAGGCCCACACAATGAATGATCATGAAAGACTCTTCTTGTGTGGACATTCCATGAGTCTATGTGATTACAGATTCATAATGGTAAGCTCCACTAGTACTTCATCATTAGTTTGCCAGCATGCCTAAATTTTTTTCATGCCTAAATTTTTAACCTTGCCTATATGGTTAACTGATCCATACTCAAAATGAAGATATAGTCTTAGATATGCACCTGGCATTGGCTCTCAATAAATACATACTAGTTTTCATTGTCCCTTCCTTGATTCATACTTTGTTTTTCTGTCTTCCTATTCCAAATCTCCAACTTTCTTAAAAAAAGAAAAAACTCATTGCAAAGTAGAGTTCTTTAGTCCCTCTGCAAAATATATAATGGGTCCCTCTTATCTGTAGGATAAAGTAAAACTGCCTACAAGATACATGAGAACCTTCAATTCTGGGCTCCATGTTATCCTTCCTCTTCTTCTACTACCCTCTTTTCCTTATATTCACCTGTGCCCCAGCCTCAATAAACCATCTTCTTTCTCCGAGAGACAATATACTTCAATGTCCCTGTGCCTTTCCTAAGCCATTTCCTCTGCCTTGAGTGTCCTTCCACACCATCATTACCTGGAAACACTATTCATTCTTCAAAGCCCAGCCAAATTTAATCTCCTCTGACTCACCTTGAGCTTTCTTTACTGTGCTCTTATAGCAGTTTGTACTTAACCTCTATTATCACACATACTACACTGTAAACAATAAACAATAAACTGTAGGACACTGTAAACAATAAACTGTAAACAATAAACTGAAGGACAGAGCCAATGTCTCATCTTTCTTTGAGGTTCCACAATCTAGTACAATACGTAGCACATTCCAGAGGATTAATTAAACAATGATGTGTAACTATCACAAAGCTTCTAGTACCTGGTAGAAACTCTTGGAAAATGTGCCAGAGGTTGATAGAAAGAAAGGATTTTATGTTCTTTTACCATTCTGTGAAAAGCTTCACTCTGCACTTAAACTATTTAAGTAAACATTAATAGGAGCCTCAAACTGACCTATGATAAAATGCTTTCTGTTAAATTAAAATCATACCTAAATTTCTATACTGGTTCAATATTTTTATAGTCTATAGACCAAGACTGATCTGACATTTAAAATTTCCATTATATGGA